GAAGCACCTGAACTGCTATTCCTATTGACTGAGTTATGAGATCTCTGATGTTGAGATAAACCCATCAGTGACGTAAACATTTTCTCGCATTTCTCACATTTTTGAGTCTTCAAACAGGACTTGCTATCGACATGCTCATCGAGAGAATCTTTCGAGGTAAAAATAGCATCACATTCTTTGCAAAACAGGACACTTCCATCATCTTTGTGCGTCTTTAGGTGCCTCTTTAAGATAATCTTCTCACTGAAAGTACTTGGACATGAAGGGCACTTGAACGGCTTCAGTCCCAGGTGGTTGTTTTCATGTCGTTGAAGACTGGCCTTGGTGGAGAGCACCTTACCACACTTGCTGCACACAAAACACTTTTTGACATTGTGATACTTGTCCTGGTGTCCTAGCAGTTTGGATTCTTTTCTAAACGACATACGGCACTTGTCACATCCATGGGGTTTCTTGCTGTGGGTTTTTAAGTGTGCTTTCAGATTGGCTGCTCCGCTGAACTTACGATCACATAACTCACAAGAGAAGGATAGTTTTGATTCATGCATCTTCATATGGTAGCGCAGGTACCCCAGCTGTTTAAAGCTCTTCCCACAAACCTCGCAGGAGAAAGGCTTCCAAGTTTCCACATTCCTCCTGCTTTCCTCTCCTTTAATCCCATGCGTGAGCTCGTGCTTCTGGAGGTTTCCCTTGTCGCTGAAGCCGCGCTGACAGATGATACACTTGTATGGTTTCAATCCGAGGTGGATGATCTCGTGGCGCTTCATGCTGCTTGGTTCCTTGAACATCTTCACACAGTACTTACACTTGTACGGACGTTCCCCGGTGTGCTTCCTCCGATGGATCTCCAGACGCCTCAGGGTTGGGTAGGACTGTGCGCAATCAGTGCACTGGAACAGAGGTTTGGTTGGTCCTTCACCATGCACCATCAGGAGATGCTCCTTGAGGATTGGTCTTCGGCTGTAGGACTTCTCACAGTGGTCACAACTGAAAGGTTTCTTGTCCTGGTGGGTCTTGAGGTGGCGATGAAGATTCGACTTTGATTTATACATTTTCCCGCAGACCTCGCACGTGAAGGGTTTCAAGTCAACAGTAAGAGGATTTGAATCTATCGTAAGTTCATTTTGATCTCCTCCTATATGTAAAGCAAAATTTTCCTTGTCATGTTTACTGGTATCACTTTCACCTGCTTCACTCCGTTTCGACTGGATCGGTGTATTACTGCTTTCCAATCTAACATTTCTTACCTGGTTAGATTCAACAACTTTGGAAGTCCTCTTCTTCTTTCTCACCTTCCCAGATTTCCCAGAGATACTGTGTCCATGGCAACAACCGTTTCTATGACGTTTAAGATACAGGCCCTTTGTGAACCCTTTCCCGCATTTCTTACACCGGTGGGCCTTTTCTCCTTTGTGTATCTGCAGATGTCTCTTCCAACTTGAGTAGTAGGTGAATGGCTTTTGGCAGCTTGGACAGACAAATGGCATCTCTCCGGAGTGCGTCCGCTCGTGAGCACGCAGGGTCGACCTTTGTGTGAACTTTGCGCCACATTCCTTGCATTGGTTCCTTTCAAGGGTTTGAGTGTCTTTGACATCGACCTGCCAGTGACTTCTCAAATGCATCTTTAACTCAAGTGATGTTCCACATGTATAGCTACACTTTGTACAAGCATGAATCTTTGCTCTGGTGTGAATCCGCTCGTGTACCTGAAGGGCAGACGGTGATTTGAAACGCTTCAGGCAAAACTGGCAGCCATATGGACGATCAGGATAGTGGTTACATTTGTGGGACCAACGTGAATACTGATCTGAATATACCTTCGAGCATAGAGAACATGTGTAAGTCCTGTCCGATAAGTGGATAATTTTGTGTTTTTCTAGGGCCCGTTTCCGCAAGAACCGTTTACTGCAGGTCTTACATTGAAAATCCTTGACTGATGTGTGGACGATCTGATGTCTTCTCAGGCCTACATTGGAGGAGAATGTTTTAGAACATTGACTGCAAGGGAATGGCTTATCGTACGTGTGACTCCTAAGATGGACACCGAGACGGATAGCTGATGAATACTGCCTGGGACAGTACTTACACTTGTGGACGCCACAGAATACAGGTTCCCGATGACAACATTCTTTGTGAGCTTTCAGTGTTTCCCTGTAGCTGTACACCTTACCACATAAATCACAGGGGAACTTGATCCCAAAGTGGACATTCTGGTGACGGTAGAAATTGGAAGACTTGGAATATGTCTTCCCACATTTCTCGCAACAGTATTTCTGAACTTTTGAAGTTCTGCAGAGTTTGACCTCAGTTTGCACAGAGAGATCATCTTTCTCACACTTCTCTTCAAATTCCCAGGCTTCTTTCGGAACATTAAGTTCAATTGCTGATTGTCTATCTTCTGTATCAAGGCCTTCAACTTTACCTTCGATGAAGTAGATTTCACTACTGCTCTCAGTCTGGCCGTTCTCCTCTATGTAGTCACTTACAATTAGCTGCGTGTGCATGGGAATATGAATCTCCATTGCAACTTGTCCAAGGAGTGTATCTGGCTGAAGGTGAACTGTTTCAGGAATCTGGGAGAGCTCAGAATCTTGATGAATGACACCTTCAATGTGTGCCTCCTCTTCTGGAATATGAGAAAAATGTCCAGCGCTCAGCGATCCTTCGTTGTCGTCTTTTGCAGAGTCTGTGACCACCCCAACCTGATGGGCAAGGAGAATAGATACAGGTACGACTGATGAAGACACTGCTACTGATGATGAGTCTTTCAATGGTTCAGCTTCAACAACTTCCGTAGGTCCATCTGCAGAAGTTGCAGACTCCTCTCCATCATCTCCTCTGCCTTTCCTCTCAAGGTTAGTAGATCCAGTGTCTTCAGGGATGTGTGATTCCGATGCAGCATCTAGGTGCGTCTGGACTGATGCAGATGGAACCCTGACGACTGTCGCCATTTGAGCCGTTGTAGATACAATAGCTGATGTTGTCTGGGTAGAATGAGCAGGAATGGAGGACATCTTACATGATGAGTCCTTCCAGTGCTGGGATAAAGCGTTGCTGGATGAAAAGGGCTCTCCACAAAGCAGACATGATGTGGTCTCATCTACAAGAAAAAAAAGGAAAGAAAAAAGATGAATGCATTGGAAATATGATTCTGTTTATGATGTAAACATTTCAGTTAGTATTTCACTATCTAAACCAATCCAATCCAATCCAATCCAATCCAATCTGGGCATATAAGCACCAGTATTTACATGTTGGTGCCTAATTAATTAAAGGCGCCAATGAGACTGAATAACTACTGCGTTTGCTGTCCCCGAATTAAAACATTACATATACTGAGAGTGTCACCACAGCTACTAGCTGCTACAACACCATTCTTTCTTTGCTCCTCGATATTCACGCTCCTGCCAAGATTCCCAAGGCTAACACTCATACAGCACAGTTATTTTTTTCCTTCAATTTTTAATTGCTGTAGGTCATTAGGAGTAGAAGTGGCATAAAATTTGTTAAGGCCACTGTCCAATATTCGTTGGGTGTGGGAAGGTGTGATTTCGGACAAATTTTAGGGTTTGTTTACCTGCCTCTCCGCACACGTCTTATGGGAGGCAGTTAAGGCTCGGTGATATTGTAACATAATTGGTCCAGTATTTAGTAAGACGTAGAGAGCGTTATAGTTAATTGTGAAATATATATATGTATGTACATCGTGGGATGTCAGTCAGTAAGCGTTGAGCCGTCGTTGCGACAGGTACGTTACAAGGAACGAGATAAAGTTACTTGAACTGCAGATAATGTGCAAGTGTTGTTTCTTTAGTCCTGTCAGACATCCAGTGATTGCGGGAGTGAGTGAAAGGAGAGGTAGTCCACGTTTTTCTTACATGATATACTATTGTGAGAGCCCACTGAGAGATAGTTGATGAATGATTGTCGAGAGCGTGGACCGGGTTTTCAGAAACTGCACAAGGCAGAACGTTACTCCGGCAGAGCCCGGTTACGCCACAATATCAGTATCATAAAAATATTATCACCAAGCTACTTTGCTGGACACAAAGAACTAAAGTGAAAAAATCATAACAAATAGAGGGTTTGACTGAAATATCTTAATTTTGGTATCGAAAAAAACGGAAAATCGCAAGCTTGCTCCTCTATTCCTCGCAAAAAAATATCTTATAGCATTAAGTGGATGGAGAACAGCGATAGCCAATCTGAAGAGCCCATGTTGGCTAGGCTAGGTGCCAACTTATGGAAATGAGACTGAAATCGGATGAACGATCTGCGCATGCGCCAATTGTAAGCTAAAGTTCTATGTGCTGGAGTGCTTTTCTAGATTATGTAGATCTAATGCCAATCGCGATCGCAGACCCCGTCTCCCGGCCCCCCCACTCAGTGTTATTTAGGGTACGCATATGCGTGTTCCAACCGACCCCCCCTTTTCAGCAAAAGTCTGGTGTGTAAAGTCAATACGGCTCGACCTTTTTCTTTTGTATACAAGCCTTTTTCAGCACCCCCCCCCCCCCTTTTCAGCAAAAGTCCGGTGTGTAAAGTCAATACGGGTCGACCTTTTTCTTTTGTTACGTCTTACGAAAAGGACATTTTGGCAACACGCATGGGGTCCGTCCGTTCTCAGCAATTGCAGATCGACTACACCCCTAATATCAGCCACATGATATTGTTTATGCATGTCCTAATACAGTATTTTCTTATTTGAAATAAATAACTTCTTTCAACGAAAATGCACAACACCAAACCCACTTTGTCTTAGCTAAGTTACATGCATGTAGACTAACTGGAACCACATAGAATCGCATACGTGGGACAGTGATAAAAAAAATCTTCATGAGATCAGTTGTATATTTTGTCAAATCATGTATGAGAATTGTACAAATACTATGAAATAATAATACATACCATTTTCCATTCTTTAGTTGAAGATAATAACAGTCAATTTCTCAAAAGACCCATCGAAACGGAATGATCACTGTCTCGAATCTCGATGAGATCGATCTATGCTGAAAATGGCATGAATATTCATGTCAACTTAGTGACGTTCGTGACGTAACACGAGACGTGAGAGGGAACTCCCTAAAAACTTAACGTTGTATCAGGAAGCTTCCTGGTTATACTAGTCCTGTCAATTTATTTTCTCCCAATACAACTTTTCTTGATTTTCTTTCATGAAGAAACAGGCACATGTTTCATGATTACGGGTAACATAGAAAATATAGAAAAATGAGGTTACATCGATAAAATGATGGGAATGCGTAGACAGGTTTACTAGCAAATTCAAATTGACAATGTATGCATTATTTCTAAACATACGTTGTTATTTACAACCTGAAAGCTTGCCTTAGGCTTATCCAACAAAGTACAAATTTATATTTCATTTATTAATAACAAATTTATGACAAAGAGAAGAAAAAAGTTTTCATTTTCATGATCAATTTCGAATATCATTTTTGGGAGGGCCCCCGAAGACTGCATGGATGAGTGCCCCCACGGTCCCACCCCTGCTGTTTTGTATCGTGTTTTTAAATCAACAGCCTCGATTTCTTCATGACACCTGAACTTGAATGCTATGGAGAGTGTTTCCATGGATACTAGTATATCCATGTGAATACTCTTCACTTTGTCTAACCATGCATACCCATGGTCTAAATTTCCTTCTCTCTCGCTCTCTCTCTCTCTCTCTCTGTCTATCTTTCTTTTTCCTCTCTCTCTATCTCTCTTTTTTCTCTCTCTCTCTCTTTCTCTCACTTTTTCTCCCACTCCCTCCCTCTCTGTCTTTCTCTCTCTCCCCCTCTCTCTCTCCCTCTCTCCCTCTCTTCCCCCTCTCGCTCTCCCCCTCTCTATCTCTCTCTCTCTCCCTCTCTCTTCCTCACTCTCACCCTCTCCCTCATCTCTTTCTCTGTACCAATCTATTCCTCACACGCACTCTCTACATGAACAGTTAACAACTAAATTAGTAACATCCCTTGTAAATTTAATGTATTTTTAGTGTTTTTCGTGACTCAATAATGAACGGTGCACTGGTTGAATTAGGGCCTTCGTTGAATACCTTTCAATGTAAGCTCTGATAATGTCACATTCTCAAGAAACATAAATCGGGACAAATCATATTTAATATATTTAAAGATGTACAATACTTGGTAAGATATGAATAATTTAGTTGTTAATTTAACTGTATATTCACTGTAACCTCTCCTCACTCTCGTCTGCTTTTCTCGAATTGTTACATTGGTGAGACAGTAACTCTTCACAGGCGGAGTTGTTCCCTGAAATCGGTAGGAAACACATCACACTCTCTGGATCAAGGGCGTAGCCGCAGATTTTTTTAAGGGGAAGTGTTTTTTTTTTTGCGTGATTCGTGAAAAAATATTTAGCGGTGAATCAGCCAGCCGGTGAATAAGCGGGGGGGGGGGGGGGGAGGGTGTGAACGCTCCTTTTTTTTTTCCCCCTGAACATTCACTACCCCCTTCGCCCTTGAGCAACAAAAAACACACCCCCTGTTTGCCAAGGGGGGGGGGTGTGAATACCTAGAATACACCTTCGCTCTGGATTTACTATTATTCTCTAGTGACTGTTTCAAACGACGGAAATAATATTAATTTTGCAGTGAGAGATGACATGGAGTAATTTTTTTTTTGTCAACGTCTTTATCATAATACTAAAAAATGATGTACATCATGATTCAAGCTTACAACAACCACGGCCAAATGATAAAAGATGATTACGCAACAAGTTTCGGTTTCTCTCAAATAAAGGTTTTATTCTCTAGTCATTATCATTTCCAAGGGTTACAAAACCAGGCAATTACTGTCCTAAGTGTGATTGATATAGTGCTATTATAATATGAAACACACTGGTTTTGTTAGCATTGTGGTTTAAGATATTGGTAGTTATCTGTCACTTAAACACATTTCAAAAGGTAGACAATGATGAACTAAGCGATTTAGAAGTACATCAATAAAAATGCAAAGAAAAGAAAGATAATGATGGCCGATTCGATTTACAAGTATTTATCAATTTGATAGAAAACCAAATAGAACAGATTGAATAACAAATATAAAGAGAAGAAAGGTAACGAGGAACAATCAGATTACTAAGCATTTATCAAACCAATAGAGAATGGTACAACATAAACATTCAACATATGAAACCAACAACAAAATAATTTCCAGGAACTATATCTCCAGAAAATGAAAAAAAAGTTTGTCATGTTCCATGTCGGCCTCTGGGTTATACGATACTTTCTCCTGCGACTTCCTACACTAGCCGAATTCTTAACGTTAACTCAGTCCACAACACTGTATATACCGAACCCTAAAACTATCATTACAGAAAACCTAAAAATCCAATTGTTTTAGAGAGAGAGAGAGAGAGTTTGAGAGGGAGAGAGGGAGAGAGAGAGAGAGAGAGAGAGAGAGAGAATATATATTTAAAAACAAAAGAAAAGTAACAGGTAATGGAGAAATAAAACAACCTCTTATGCCATTGCCACACATCACACACCCACACACCCACGCACCTACAAAGCGCCCATCAGCTCAATGACCGAATCTACGCCACGCCTTTGTCTAAAAAACATTGACCCATCGCGTGTGAAACTCTTCTAAGTCTTGCGATAATACTGTAGTTAGAAATGAATCTGTTGACAGTGAAAACCGAAACAATCTAAAGAGAGTTCCATGAAGTTATATGTAGTTTGGATTGACAGCCTTGTGTTGTGTTCTGAGAACAACTTTATAAGTTTGTTTGGTAGGCCTTCACAAGCCTTTAAGAACGACCATGAGGGTTGAAGGAAAGTTTACGTCGAGTGGATTTTAATCAAAATACAAAATTGTTACAAACTTTTTGAAACAACGTCTGATAAAAAGAATATAAACAATATTCAAAAACGTGATCGTGATAGAGAAAAAGCAAGGCATGAACATTGGAGGTCATGAAAATATTCACAAGGTGGCAATTTTACGATTTTCTTTGTAAGCTATTCTAAACTTGTTTCCTATTAAACAAAATAGTCGTTTTAAAAATAAGCCTCTATACGATTGATGATGAAGGAATGAATTTAATTTTAAAGAGGAGAATAGCAATTACAAGATTGCTTGGACGACTTCGGTCAGAGTGCAGCTTTTCTTTGAAGAATCGAATTATGAAAATGTTAACAAAGCAAATAGACTTAGTAGCAAAACGCAGAATTGTCATTTTGTGTGGGTATCTTCGAAACTACTGAGGCTTTAAATCTTGTATATCCTTTTTCGGATTTCTCCAACTGTCAGAGATCTGTTTTTCTGGGTCTACAAAGCGCTTAATACATCACAAATGTATCTATCTATCTTTACAGAAACAAGTATATTATTACCCCGATCATCATATTTAGGTCTACCCGCCCACAATGTAGGCCTATGCACATTCTCCACTCCCTGGTGAGCATTCCAACCAGGCGCCATTTTACAGATGCTCACAATGCTGAGCAAACTACAATATATGACTGCATGGGGGAGTAGAAATTGTGGATTAATGTCTTGTCAAAGGGCGTTAATGCGGGGCTGGGATTCGAACCTTCAACCCTTGTATCAGAGTCAAGTGCATAAACCACAAAACCAAGACAACTCCACATTTCCTCTCTACCTTCAGTCAGTGAGAGCTGACTTCATGTTAAAGTTAACAACTTTCATTTTACTCCTTGTAATATGTAATTTTCACAAAATACGTCGTACACTGTGAAAAGGTTGGGCAATATTTCTCCAACACTTTGCCCAATGTTGTGCCAATAGTCAACCCAACCATCTATTGGGCAATATTTTTCCCAGTGGTATTGGTAAACGTAAGTACCCTCCTTCACACGTGTATAATTGTTTCGTATTTTGACCAAAATTTGGGCAAAGATATGACCCTTCAACTGCTTCAACTGATTATGGTTCCCACTTGGTGGGAAAAACTTGACCAGCTGTTGGGCAAAATACGAAACAATTGCCCAATAGATGGTTGGGTTGACTATTAGCACAACGTTGGGCAAAGTGTTAGAAAATATTGCCCATTTTGTTTACAGTGATACTGTGATATGTGCATGATGATGGTGTAGTTAGATGTACACACTTAAACTTGATCGCAAAGAATTTCAAGAACTTGGGCAATATCAATCCCCTAATGTACTACTGCCTGTAGACATTGTGATTGCATTATGTAATAAGTCATTGCATGTTTGAACATATGAAAAAGCGATGCAAAGTGCTAATGAAAGTGCCATATAGTTTTATATTCTGAAGAACTTTACGGTCGCGTGTCAAGTATAATCAATGAAAATGAATATCATTCGGATTTCATTTTACGTCTACATATATTTAAAAGAGTAACATCTTGTTCTTCATAATATTTCAAAAATGACGTCTCTTGTCTATAAAATTGCAGCAAAAATTACAAAATACACAGCAGGGATTACATACAAAATACAAAAATATATACATTATTGATTCAGCTGCTGTCATCCTCAAATTTTATCAACTACACAATTTCTTACATACTTGTTATCCATCAGTTTAATTATACAATGATATTTCAATGTATTGACTTTACATTCATCTCATTTTTTACAAATTGCCATGGATACATAATTATTACCAAACTTTGTAGGCCAACCTTATAACAATAATGTTCTACGTACAGCCCCGACCTATATAGTTCTGATAAATCACATTACAATTATAATACTAACCGGTTCATACTATACTTTTGAGCGTATCACATTACATCATAACATTAATAACATTAATTTATATACCTATAATTAAGCTATTGATGCAAGACGCATGAATAATAATACTGTTTTATGCTTGTGAAATGGAAGGAAATGTGCAATTTTGGCAAGGAGCAAACAAATGAATGGCGTGAATGCAAAGTAACAGAGGATCAGGGCAACAGGTAGTCATTAGGAGTTTGAAAGAAATAAAAAAAAAGTTCAAGATGGAGATTATTTATCGTATTTCAAGATTTGTTCGTTAAAAAAAACGAAAGTTTAAATGTGGAACTGAAAGAATAGTAATCAGTAATGCTTAATATGAAATTGCATCATATAATGTTGATGTTACAATGTCATGATTACCTTTGCAGCAAATCAACGAAGGTGAGCAAAAAAAAATATATGAAATGGAATAAGGTGACGTAGTAATCTAGTTAGTGTTAGCTCTGTTCATGGTCATATACTCGGAGTCAATGCTGTACGTATCCGGTGACATAGGCACATACTCATCATTCTCCGAGTCGGTATCCTTCGCATCGGGCGCGGTCACGACCGCAGAAGTAACCGACATGCGGTGGGTTGGTAGCGGTAGAGGAGGCGGTCGTGGGTGCCGCATGACCAACCGCGTTGACTGACCTAGGCTGTGCCGTCTCTGTGAGCTGGACAGTGTGGAGACGATGATGTCAGAGGGCTGCACAAGGCTGGATCTTAACTCCTTGATTTCCTGATAAATCTTGGGCTCCCCCTCGTTCCCCTCCTCAATCTGTGTAAAAGGGAGCATGATAGCAAAAGCTTTCGAAAAATCAACCTGATGAAATTTCAATTGCATTGTGCGTCACCTAATGATGTGATTATGGAAATGGAATAACACCTGAACGCATTTTTTTTTACGGGCAATGAAATAGGGAATTGAAATTGCCTTTAAGTTAATTTCTTAAAAGTCTTTGCGATTGTATAAATTATGTAAACCATAAGGCCAAATAAAAAACAAAACATGTTTAGCGTCCTCCTTTTTTCAAAATGGCCGCTCGGTACATTTTCCTTGACAGTCGGGCTTTTTTTTAAGATGGCCGCCGACATTTTTTTTTTATTATTATTTTTTAAATAAAAATTAGATCCATTTTAGCAATGTTTTTTATGTGTTTTTTTCTTTAAAAAAAATAAAATAAAAATAAAACAAAATAATGAGGCGGCCCCCAAAAAGGAAGCGGGCGGGGACGCTAAACATGCATATTTTTTTTAATGGCCTAAATATATTTCTCGAAAGTCTGATGAAGCTTTCTCATGTTATACAGACGATGGGATATTCAGCATTAGGTGGAGCCGCCTCCCTCCCTCCCTCCCTCCCATTAGAAGCCGAGGTTGAATGCCAAGGAATGATCCGACTGATTTTATTTTAAATCCTGTGACAACTGCTCGGGGCTTAATTTCGCCAAAGGTTCAGGGTTAGGGCTGCAATGAGTTTTACAGTAAAGATTGAGGGTTGGGGTTAGGGTTAAGGCTAGGATTGGGTTAAGTGCTGGGTTCAGGGTTGAAGTTCAGAGTGCAGTTAGTGTAGGTAATTGACGAGGAATGAATCTACGAAAAGACGGATGGTGTACTTCAAAATCAGCGAGGAAGAAGAAGAAGAAGAAGAAGAAGAAGAAGAAGAAGAAGAAGAAGAAGAAGACGAAGAACGAAGAAGAAGGAGGAGTAAAAGGGGAAGAAAAAGACGAAGAAGAATGAAGAATAATGAAGAAGGAGGAGGAGGAAACAAAATAAGAAGACGAAGAATAATACGAAGAAGGGGAGAAGAAGAAGAAGAAGAAGAAGAAGAAGAAGAAGAAGAAGAAGAAGAAGAAGGAGGAGGAGGAGGAGGAGGAGGAGGAAAAAGAAAATGAGACAAACTACAGAAAGGAAAAAAGCAATGCCTTACATTTTGGAATCCCGGATCAGAAAAGGTTGAATACAATTTAAATTACCGTGTACAGATTATTACTCAAAGATGACAATACAGATGAACGGGAAGCATCACCTACTCGATTAGGTGATCTTGTCACATGACTTTCTTCTCGAGCCCCAGCTACTCGCATCGATCCTGCATGAGTAGGAAATGATATCAAGATAACAACAAAAATTGCAGTCAAAAAGTGTTCCACTGAGTCACCCGTTCGTCAATTTCCGGTGTATAAATCATGCCTATAACATTCAAGAATATCTTTATATAAAAATGAACTATATAACTTAAATTGACGCATGTGTTTGGCAATACACAATAATAACCAGCATTTCTATCACACTGACGTCATCAGCTTTGCTAAATTTACTCTCTTTTTTTCAGAAGCAACCGCAAAAGTCGCAGACGGTACACTAAGAAATAAAGGTACAATTCTGCTACAATAGTAGCACCCTCTGCTACAAGAGAAGCACTAATAATAATTGTGCCAAATACGCGTAGGTAAAAATGCAAATCTGCACCCCAATTGCACCCTTAGTTCTTTAGTGTGTTTAGGTCCATAGATTTTCTTCCAATAATATACAGTAGGCCTTTATTCTGTCACAAAGATGTTTGTGTATAGGCCTATATGTATTAAAATCCTTTTCATTTGTCTGGAAATCTTTACTAAAAACGCACCTCTTTGGCCTTAATTATTTAGTTTAAACTATCCTTACTTACGTTCTTTGTTTTGACCATGTTAGCTATCTCTTTATTATGTTATTTACTATGTTAAGTTAGTCATTTTAGTAGTTATAGGATTTGTATATGTGTTGATTCCTTGTATGTGATTATATTTCTCGTCATTATGCTTGTACAGCGCATAGAGAGACTTATTATGCGCTTGATAAATATTGTATTATTATTATTAAATCAAGCTTGAATCGAAATATTAAAGGTAGTGGTCGTCATACCTTTGACGACAGCCCTGAGGACGACGGAGACAGTGACAACGATCACGAAAGCACTGACGACGATGACGGCGATGATGACGAAAATGAGGTCGCGAATCCACAATTTCTCTGCAAAGATTATGGAGCAGGTAATGTGAAGAAATGTTACACTTTGTAAAACATTTTCAAGGGCTACGCATTCATAAGTCTAAAAATCATTACGAAGCAAATATATTTCATGAAGAAATAATTGTTAATGAAACTGTTTGTTTGATGATTGTTTTACCTGAATTCTAAGAAAGTGCTCGTAAGGATAGGCCTAAGTAACCAGGGTTACGACGGCTTTAAGTCCTCTCCGATGAAATTGATAATGAGAGTTAATGCCTTACCAAGGGGCACGAGCATATTGAATTTGTTTCGAACCCTTGACCTCCCGGTTACGAGACCGCTGGTCTACCACTGAGCCATCGCACCTTCTTTCGTATCAATCAGGGGGAGTGTTTCATAAAGACTGAGATTAACTTTAAGTTAGACTTAACTATGGCAGGCAGATCATGCCACTATTTGCTCTCACCATTATGAGCTTAAGATAATATTTTGTCCTTCAATAATAAATGATCAAATAATGTAAACTCTGTCGATTTGTGACCATGATTATTTTGTAAGTCCCTTGAGAGACAAATGCCAGTAAATGGTGAGAGCAAACAGTGGCATGAACGGCCTGCCATAGATCCAACTTAAAGTCGATCTTAGTCTTTGTGAAATACCCCCTATAGGTTAACTAAATTTCGATAATCTTCTTCTTTTTTTCATTTGCAAGGCATAAGCATTTTGCAGTTCGAATTCAGTTTAGATTATTTGAATTCATTTAACATTTTCTAATTGATTCAACACACGCAACCTGAGGTTCATCAATTAAAAGTTGTATACTTTCTCACAGAGCGGGGAACAAGACAGTTTACTGAAATCACATTAAGATTGAAAGGCACAAACAACAATCTATGACGCTATATCCTGAACAACCGAAAGTGCACACAGGTCATTAATATTATGAAAGTCATGAAACTATATTTCAGAGAAAACAAAAGAAAACAGCCATGCCTATTTATGCTATAAGACCTTAAAGAGTCCCTATTATGATATTCTAATTCTTGGTATTTTGTACATGAAACTCATCTAAAGTGAAAAAATGATCTCCGTTTGAATTAAATACGTATCTAAATATTTTTAAAATAATATTTTCCCCATGTATTCATGCCTAAATCACTCTGCTACTCTCTAAAAAAAATCGAGTGATCACGGACGTCACTCCTCTGGAGAGTGAAAATAGAGTGAACATTCACTCTTTTCTTCTTAGAGAGCACTCTAAAATCAATCGATTTTCACTCCTAAACAAGTGATCACGGACGTCACTCCCAAGAAAGTGAAAATAGAGTGAAAATTCACTCTCTTTTTTAAGAGAGTAGCCCCGCCCCTTTTAAAACCCGAGTTCTCATTCTTCGAGAATGATTGACGTGTGACGTCAGAGACAGACATCATCGATATTGGCTGCTGAGAATCAGAAAGGGGATAACTCCTATCAGGGTTTTTTTCACACGAACTTAAATAACACCCTTCTGGCTCTCAACTGACGCTATGGTATCTCTAAGGCTATTTTACAATTTTGCATATGGCCATGAAATAAACTGATAACGAAATTCCTGAAAACATAAATGGTAGAAAAGGTTGAACAAGGAACCCTCCCCCTTAGGCCTAAAAAAGATGTTGTATTGCCCTTTGCGACCGACCCCAAAATCTTTAAATCTACCGTTTTTTAGAAGAAAAAAAATATATTAAAGCATTAAAAACTGAAAAATATCAGCCCAAAGAGGGAATTAAAAAAAGTTTTTAAAAAGTATTAAATAACGTCAATACTACTGGGCCAGAGGGGATTAGACCACACAGCAAGGTCACTGACAGGTGGCTATCTCATTAACTCAGGATCATGATGGACTAACAGGCACCGATTGGGGAAGTTTTCTATATAGAGGGAGCAAGTAGCTACAAGTAGGACAGTGGGGCTTTAAACAAAATTTTAAAAAGATTTCCGACCGACCGACCCATTTTTGGCACCTAAAGGGCAATACAACATCATTTTTGTTTAGGCCTTATTTTGTAACCTACATTATAGGGCCTAATTGCGTGAAAGAGCAATTTTAGCAATGTACACAAATTCTGAGGTGCTCTGTTTATGTTATTTTCGATTTGGAGAAAGATGAAAATGGATAGCTTTTTTTTCTCTTTGTTTATTTTAAAATTTCTCACTCGATATGAGTTGCAAAATTAAAGAAAACGAAATAACAGATGTTCTCTGTCGGTACAGCTGAAACGGGCCATGCAGTAACGGGCCATCCATCGTTTCTGATTCTTAAATCTCAATATGTATGTTATTCTTTTTTTTTAATTACGGAAATACAAACAAACAAACACACAACCTGCCGTATCTAAATCTTAAATTCCACCACGTATTGTTTATGTTTTTATTATGGAAATAAAATCAATCTTACAAACAAACAAACAAAAACACAGCAAACATGCATTTTAAAAAGATATAAATGGGAACTCACCATCAGAAGTCGTCTGTTGATTCGATCCTTGATCATTAATCAATACAATGGGAGTAGGGACGGAAGCCCTTGTACTCGCCGTGCTCTCCCCGCACAACCTGTGACGGCAACGGAGGTCGACCTCGTAGGTGGTCGAGGCCAGGAGATTACGGACTTCGTACACGTGGTCAACGACGTCGCTGTACATGGTGCCGAGATCTTTCTGGATGCATCCACTGCCTGGAGTGTTGTTCGGTGACGAACCTTTAAACAAAAAAAAACAGAAATTACAAAAATACTAAAATAACAAATTTTGAAAAGGTATTTGTAATCTATAATTTCTCTTTTCGTCATTTCGAAAAAAGATTATTGGTCTAAATGATTTTTATTGAGGCTTATCTGAAAAACCACCTTTTTAATTCGATACGGTTATAAAGGAATACGTTTTTAAAGGGGGTGTGGTGCTTTCGGGGGCTTAGGGTATAGGGAGAGGACTTGGTTTTTGTTCTCGTTCTTTTCTGCATGTGCCTCACTTAAATTGTGTATTCAAGGAAAAAAAAAAACATCTTTTTGTTGTGGTGGGGGGGGGGAGGGGGAGCGGGGGCTTGACCTCAGACCCCGGTTGCTGGGTAGACGAGTTCGAATATCTCGGTCTCGTTGATTTTCGTCATCGGTCTCATGAACCTTCGGACAACTTCGGCCAATATGATTTTCTCTTCGGCTTACCTTCCGTGGTATCGCAGGTGCTGAGAGTGCACGTAGAAGAGTGTTGAATGCCGCTTAGATCGAGAAGGAGAGAGGTAGAGAGTTCTTGCTTAACTGACACGGACAGCATAGAGTCAGTCAAACCTGGAAAGAGAAATGATAAACTTAAACCCTGGTCGCAAAGACTCTCGAGAATTGAACTCACTGTCAATATTAACATCATAATTATGTAGAGGTGTCGTTGCCTAGTGGATACGTCACCGGACTGTGGATCACATGGTTCGCGGTTCGATTTGTCCCGCTTCGGGTACTATTGCATTTGGCAAGACATTAATCTAAATTTGCCACACTCGACCCAGGTGAGGTAAATGGGAAACCTGGCGTTAAAATGTTAGAGCGCCATAATGGCAGCCATGCTAAAGCCGGGGTAATAATTATTGTGAAGCGCCAGGATTGCCAAGCCTGATAGACATAAGCGCTGTGCAAGAACCCACTATTATTATCATTATCACTATATTGAACATAATCTTTTGATCACGTAATACATGTACGTACGTTATCTTAATATTCGCACATTTAAAAAGATGATAGACAAGGCTATTGAAACTGCCTTAGGTCGATTTTCGAAAGCATTTTAGATCGTGCTGTAAGCTAACTACGGAATAATAACAGAAGTAACAAAATAATAACAGCAGTAACAAAATAAGTAACAGAAGAGAGAGAGAGAGAGAGAGAAAAAGAGAGAGAGAGAGAGAGAGAGAGAGAGAGAAAGAGTGAGAGAGGGGGAGAGAGAGCGAGGAATGGTTGGGGAGGGGGATCCCCCAAAGATGTGAAAAATCAAGACAGCTGTTACTCACAGATAGCTTTCTCTGCAATGATATCCTCCGCCAGAGCCACGTGACCAACCCTGCATCGCAACACCTTTCCGTCATCCTCTATCATTGGATTATAATCCAACGCGCTGATGACCCTCATCATACCCGAGGTCATCACTGTGGTCGTCACCTCGGCATCGTCGGTCACGTTCTCCTCATCGAGTGACCACGTGATGAAGGAGACTGGAAAGCTGCTACCAGCGATACAATATGGCCTCTGTGGCGTCGAGGAGCTCACGTGATCGTTAAGACCAAGAATGTTGATTGGTTGATCAGGTGGTTCTGAAGACAAAGAAGAGTTCAACAATAAATCAGCAATTAGATCATCGATCCTTCAAAAAACAACGATGACTTTTGCACAAGACAGTGTTAAAACACAGCGCTTGTTTCTAGGCGGAATTAAGAACTAAATCGCTAAGGTAATTGACTTGATGGCGAAACCCGGGTTCCTGTCATCAGTGAGAATACACGGGCAAGAATGAGCAAAAGCTCGAGTCTGTCTGCTTTTTATGTAAAGCTAATATTCGATTTGTATTACCAATCACCTATTGCAATTATAATAGATTCAAGTATTTAGGACCCGCTTTGATTTTCCTTCCCCTTTGTTGATGTTGTTGCTGTTCTTTGTTTGTTTTAATGGCAACCAGTCAATGATTATAGTAATGCCAAATACAATTATAATTATTTTTAACATAATACTTCTTTAAAGAATATTAATAACGAGATAAAAAATATATTATGCCAGATAACTATTATTCCTTCTATTTTAGCGCTGTCCTGAAAAACATGATGAGTTATCTTACAAATGTGTTTTAAGTTTCCTTTGTAATAATTTAAGTTTTACTGCAAGGAGCCCAAGTCAACGTCATTTCACACGTACCTTCTACATTGATGACAATGCTTGTATTACGAACTAATCTCCCATCAATCAGGGCTTGGCATGTCAGTAGTTTTCCGTGATGCAAGCGACCAGGGTTAGAGATGACGAACGACGATGTCGTATCTTGAAGTCGAGCATCGTTCGAATTCATTTTCGACGTCCCTTGGTCTGTCTCGTCGAGAGCCTCGTCGATGTACCATGCTATTGTCACGTGAGGCCTGGATCCGATGGCCTCGCACACAAACTCGACGTCCAAACCGGGTTTGAGTGTCACGTCGCCCTGGTGGATGATGACGTCGGTGTTCCCTGCTTGACCTCCGAGAATCAGCTCACTGGGAGCTGAAGAAGATTAAAATGGGGAGGGGAGGTGATACACCGACTTTATGGTCCGTAATCACTTTAACCCGATCAGTGGGTCAAAAATCACTTTTAACAAATAAAAACACGATCTCAGTATAAACCAGTCGGGTTTAATCTTTAGTAAACGGGCCTATACATGGGTGTCGTTCCCCGGGGGTGGGGGTATATCCCCCCCCCCATATGGAAAAGTTGTATCATCCGCTCAATCTGACTTGCGTGCATAGAACAATAAGCATTTTTCCATGAAAAATTTCCATTCCATATGCAAATTTTCTGTACTTTTGTCGGAAAAAATAGATTTATCCAGCACAATGTCGTCTCTTTTTGCGTTGGAGTAGAGCAAATAGCGAGTTTCAATCACACTTTGGCCGCTCTCGCAAGCTCTCACTCGTTTCACTGTGGTCAAGCGACTTTGGGGCAAGCGGGTAATGAAAATACTAATCGTTAGCTTTCTTCTGGTATTAAACTTGTTTTGATTGATTGCATAATTTGGTCGGAATAAAGGAAACAAAAAGGCTCGACCAAAAACTTATCAGTGTCTGAATTGACCTTTTGACCTTGAATTCCCTGATTCAAGCGCACTAATGACGTCATCTTTGCTAAATCGGCGTCTTTTATCGTAAAATGCGACACTTTCACAATGTTTATACAACTTTGTTTTAACTATTAGTAAGATTTAACATATTTTTTTCTGATATCACTGAAGTTTTGGGTTTTATTTAATGAGTAATTTTAAAATAAGAGCCATTTTACTGTTTTAATTTACTGGATCGTACCATTAAAGTCGCAGGGTAGAAAGATGCACTTTCCAACCGCGCCAAATTTAATTTACGTTCCGACATTCTGTTAAATGGGTTCGTGTTGTTAAGCACATTTTTTTTTATCCTCAAATTTTTTTCAATTTGCACCCCCCCCCCCCTTGAGCGCCAGGGGGGGGGGGGGCCCAACCCCAAAAAAGGGTAAAAATCACGTGATTTTACATGATTTTTTTTTTTAAGGGGGGGCCGGGCCCCGCGGCCCCCCCCCCCCCCCCCCCCCCCCCCCCCCCCCCCCCCCTCCTGGATCCGCCACTGCGGGAAGGTGGGGGGAACTGAAGTCAGGCAAGGATTAAGAGTCGAGAATGGTTCAACGAATCGTTTTCTTTCTCTAATAATTTAATGGAACGTCTAAGCTTCCGCGCTTCGCGCGGGAGGGGGGGGGGGGCTGAATTCAGACAAGGACTAAGAGCTGAGAATGGTACAACGAATCGTCTTCTTTCTTCAATAATTTAATGACAGGTCAGAGCTTCCCTCCCTGCACCCATCCCCTAGGGAGCGCGCTTCGCACGCTTCACTACCGCCCCCTAAAATTAAATAACCCAGGTAGCAAGCCCATGTGGGATCCACATGATTCCCATATTCTCTGAAATGTTATCTTTATTGAGGGTGACTTGAACAAGTTAATAATTTGGAAGGGAGGGGTGCAACCTGCCACACGCCTCTACTTCTTGGTTGCTTTCTTTCCATCTTTCTCCTCTCTGTTACTCTTTCTCCTCTTTGTTACCTTTTCTCTAACTCCATCCAATCCCCACCTCTCTCTCTCTCTCTCTCTCTCTCTCTCTCTTCGTCATGCCATCTATTCCTTTTAAAGTCCTTTCTTCTCTTTACCATCTCTCTCTCGCTCTCTTCGTCCGCCCGACTACAATTATCTTCTTTTGTATTTTTTTCTTTGAGACACTCAAAGTAATTACCTCAAAATTATACTTCATTTATATACAAAATTATGTTACGATAAGCGCATATACAGTGTGAGTCAAACAAAAGTTTACAGCTAGAAAATTGCTAATTATTTAAATAATCATCCATGAACATTAAACTGTCTTATGTTTAATGAAAGAGTGTTTTATCCCAAATCATTTGGTACCATTTTTGTGTGGTATGTGTTCACGCTTGGATGAACAGGAGACATTGTTTGCGAGAGTGCAAATAACACCCCTAACAAAATTAATCATGCCACACATATCAAATATCAACGAACATTTTTGCGCGTGTGTGTGGGTGTGTGTGACTTTGCCCTTAACAAAAAACATATGCAATGCATTTCATTTGATACATTCAATCCATTCTCTCATTCCGCTAATCCCAACATAATACATACTGTAGGCATCACTTTGGCGCAAGTCGATTTTAGCACTCTCGCAAACAATGCCACCTGTTCATCCAAGCGTGAACACATACCACACAAAAATGGTACCAAATGATTTGGGATAAAAAAAAACCTCTTTTATAAGATGTATAATAATTTACTGTTCATAGATTATTTTAAAAATAATTAGCAATTTTCTACGTGTAAACTTTTTTTTGACTCACACTGTAGAGGCGCTATATTATGGAAGTCATATGCTATAAAGCACATGTATTAAATAATTATTATTTATCCTTTGATTTGCAAGGTTGATCAATAAAGTGACGTTTTTAAAGAAAAACTTGTCTCTCACCTGCTACGACTTCTAGATTCACGCTCGAATCTTTTAGGGTAAGTCTTTTTATCTTCACTTGACACGCGTATGTCCCCTCGTCGTCGATCTGGACTTCGTTGATGGTTAAGTTTCCACTCGATGTGGAATCTAAAGAGAGACTATATCTGCCCTCCCTCTGAAGCGAATCCTCGCTAGAATCCAAAGTAGATAAGATGGTTTGTCCATCTTTTGTCCAAAGAAGATGAATGAAATCATTTCTGGACGATGTCGGTGTGTAAGAACACGACAAGGTGGTCGATGCTCCGTACCAAGCCTGACCTTCGTTGGCCGTGTGAACTTCGATTCCATCAGAGAAACCTGTAAGAAGATTTTAAAGGGAAAGATAACATTTCAGAGTTGTCTTTTTTAAGTAAGCTAAATTTAAAGACAATTTTTTTTCTCCAGTTCGAATGGCCCTCACAATACCTAATTCTATTTCCGAAAACCGAAAAAGGTTTTACTTTTTATACATTATACAATATTATGAAACACCCTCCCCCTTTCAAGTCTAGACCTTTGGATAAGCCAAAATGCGGCATGACGTATCTTTAAAATAGTAACACATCAAAATTAATGCTACTTATGTTTAACCATATTTCTTTTTTTTGGGAATCCCCTATAAGTTTTTGTGTTCGGAATGATGAATCTCCGGAATTATACATCTTTAGAAAAAAAACGAACCTTCGGAATAATGAGCATCCCTGAACAAATAAATATGATCGGGCAATTCCAAAAGAATGATTTCACTATATTTGTTGTTTCTTACGCGAGAATATGTAATACAATTTTCAAAAATAGCTATTACGTAATATCTGTACAAGTACTTTTCATTCGAGCATGCCACAAGAACCAGATTTTATCTTAAAGCTAATCTTGAGCTCTGGTATGGGAATTGTATTTCAAGAGAACATGGCTACAATTCATTCTGGATTGTTTATCCTGCAGTAGATTGGTTGTTTGAACTAGTAAAATAAACACAGACTCACAAAAGCTTGCTGAAAATCATCTTCAATAAAACCACAAATCTCATTTGCACATAGTAACCTGTGTTTAATAAGCACATGGTGTTGGGCCTATATTTGATTTCCTTATCTTTCTATGCTCATTTCTCAGCCCCCTAAACATGTTTTATCAAAATTGTTTGGCACATGTCATTTATTTATAATCTTGAACCTTCAGTATAAGTTTTGTTGGATTCTGTGGGAATTTATTTTCTATCATTACCAGAACTCAAGCTTGTCTTTAAAGGTAAAGACCAGTATTGGAAACGCCCCAATTTCAAAAAATGAAATGGAAGCTCTCATTACCAATCATGTGAAAGAATATGTTTTGACTAATACATGATGATAAAAAATTTGCCGGGAAACCGCCTGCGAATTCATATATTTGGTAAATTTGTTTCTCTCATGGTCTGTGAGAGATATAGGGTAGTCCCATACATCTTTCTGTGTATAGTGCTTGTAACTTTACGAAGAATGGGCCAAATTTCTTATCATTTTGATGATTCCAGAACCTTGCAGATGCTAGATGCTAGAAGATCAACCTTTTCTGATCGATTCCACAACGTTTCTTTCACAATGTAATCGCATGACCATAACTGGTCTTTACCTTTAAAGATACTATGTCCCTTTTGCAGCCAACATCAAATTATGTAGAACTTTGCAGGAACTATGATTATGTCATGTATGTCCTATCTGTGACATTTAAACGTTAGCAGTGTCCTAATATTTAAATTATGTAAGGAAACCTGTTTACTTGCTAGACTTCACTGTCAGACACTATTGATTGACTGACTGGCTTTTTTTCTTCTTTGGTAATAACATACATAAAATGAGCTCTAAAGGGTACATGAGCATTTGTCTACATCAATAACCCACTTCTTTTAATGGCCAAAATTAAACTGATTGAATCTTTGCGCAGCATAAAACGTACAACCATTCGGTACAATGGTCTGAAAATGAGACTATTACTTACTGGCTCTATAGCTCTTAAGTCGATTTGACAAGTAATAGTCGTTATTTTCCTACTTAAAGACATTTTCAAGCCCCCCTTTTTTTAAGGGAAGTTCTAAATTAGTATTATCTTTCAAATGCCGTTGGAATTTAACCTTTTCATTTTTTGGCCTGCAAATGGGACATAGTCCCTTTAACATAAAGTTGAAGCTTCTATTAAAGGTACTATGTCCCTTTTGCAGGCCCCAAAAATGAAAAAGTTAAATTCCAACTGCATTTGAAAGATGATACTAATTTAGAACTTCCCTAAAAAAGGTGGGGCTTGAAAATGTCTTCAAGTGGGAAAATAACGACTATTAGTTGTCAAATCGACTTTAGGGCTATAGAGCCCAAAAGTAATAGTCTTGATTTTCAGACAATTGTCCTGAATGGTCATACGTTTTATGCTGTGCAAAGATTCAATCAGTTTGATCTTGGCCATTACAGGAAGTGGGTTATTGATGTAGACAAATGCTCATGTACCCTTTAGAACTCTTTTCATTTATGTTATTACCAAAGAAGAAAAAAGCCAGTCAGTCACTCAATAGTGTCTGACAGTGAAGTCTAGCAAGTAAACAGGTTTCCTTGCATAATTTGAATATGAGGACACTGCTAACGTTTAAATTTCACAGATAGGACATACATGACATATTCATAATGCCTGCAAATTTCTACATAATTTGAGGTTGGCTGCAAAAGGGACATAGTACCTTTAACTTAAAAATTTAGTAGGCGAATTTTTGTAGACTCCTATAATGACTTCTCCACAGAGAATGATTTTCTCGAGGCAGCATGCAGACAGCAATACATTTATTGAGCCATTCGGCTCTACGAAGTCTAAATGATTGGATAAAATCTCACATTAGAAGTAATAATAATGAAGATAAAAACATGTAGTAATATTTATACTAAATTAAATGTTTCTAAGCGCTATACAATATTATTCCCCGGCATTAGCCGAGCCGAGCTACTTTGATATTATTATAAGGGGCTCTGGTATTTGAGGAATTTCTTTCTACCGGATACTCATTCAACTGGGTGGAGAGTGGCAAATGTAGATTAATGCCTAGCCAAAGGACATTATAGCTGCGACTGGACTCGCACTGGGAACCATGTGATCCATAGTCCGGTGACGTATACACTAGACCAAAGGTCTGTGTCAAATGCGTTAACAAAAATAATTAGGGTTGGTAGCAGCGTAAACTTCATGTTATGATTACGCCAACCATTATTATTACAATTTTTTTCATTCTTTATTATTATTATCATTTTTTTCTAAATACCCTACGTTTTCTGTGAATGCTTAAAGAGCGTTCTTATATTTTCCCCTTCCATGCATCCCGAAGAAAAAGGGCGGTGTGATGAATACATTTTATCTTTTAAAAGAAGATCGATGGATAAATCCCATCTTACAATGATATCATGTACAATGAATAAGCTTGCGATAGGACGTCTAAAAGGCATGGTATAATCATAACATGCATGACGCAGAAAAACGCTTTCGATAATATAGAGATGGACAATAATTAACAGCACATCATAATTGTGCCAGAATAGTTTGCGAGGGGTTCGTCCCTCCTATACTCTTATTTCCACGGAGTCAAATTTCACTCTAAATGGCGTCAGCTGGGAGTCAACTCTATTCCTAGTTAAAGTGACACGGATTCCGAATCAATTTGACTCGGATTGTGTGGCATCAGCTGAGAATTGACTCAATTCAGAGTCAAGATGACTCCTTTTCCGTGTCACTTTAACTAGGAATAGAGTTGACTCCCAGCTGACGCCATTCAGAGTGAAATTTGACTCCGTGGAAAT